TAGAGGTATATAAAATCATGAGTGATGTGGAGAAAGTGGATAAGGAAAAGTTATTTACTTATTCCCATAATACAAGAACTAGGGGGTCACCAAATGAAATTAATAGGCAGCAGGGTTAAAACAAATACAAGGAAGTTCTTCTTCACGCAGCGCCCATTCAACTTGTGGAACTCCTTATCTGAGGAGGTTGTGAAGGCTAGGACTATAACAGTGTTTAAAAGAGAACTGGATAAATTCATGGTGGTTAAGTCCATTAATGGCTATTAGCCAGGATGGGTAAGGAATGGTGTCCCTGGCTTCTGTTTGTCAGAGGATGGAGATGGATGGCAGGAGAGAGATCACTTGATCATTGCCTGTTAGGTCCACTCCCTCTGGGGCACGTGGCATTGGCCACTGTCGGTAGACAGGATACTGGGCTAGATGGACATTTGGTCTGACCCGGTACGGCCGTTCTTATGTTCTTATGTTCTTAAACATAGAAATTAGAGATGAAGAACTGGTCATTTCATCAGTGCAAGATTACGCACTACAGTACATATATTATGTAGTATGTACTCCTAACAAGGTGTGTGTGTGTGTGTGTGTGTGTGTGTGTGTGTGTTAGCTATTTAGGGTCGGCTTTTGGGTTTGGATTTTTTTAATCTTTTGAAGCCCTCATATTCTGAAGAACAACAGCCATAGAAGGTTATAAAGTCTAGCTGAGAATCAACTAAAGCACCAGCTGTTGTTGGGAGTTAAACAGCTTGAACTATAATTCTGTGCTGGGCAGACCACTGGCAGCCAGGACACCACAAAAGCCCTGATTCAACAAGATACTTAAGCACATAAGTACTCCCATTGACTTCAGTGAAGGCACGTCTACACTGCCGCACAGGTCTAACTAAAGGGCTGTGAATAGCACTGTGCAACAAAGTGCTGCACTGTAACGCCCCTGTGTGGACTCTGCAAATACAAACTTATACGTCCTGAGTTCACACTAATGTAGGAAGTTTGCACCTGCAGTGTCCACACAGGGGAGTTACAGCGCAGCACTTTGGTGCGCACTATTTGCACCCCCTTAGTCCAAACTGCAGGGCAGTATAGACATGCCTTGAGACATGCAAAAACATGATCTAAACTAAAGCGTCCCTAGCCTCTATTTTCCAGAAGCTGGGAATGGGTGACGGGGATGGATCACTTGATGATTACCTGTTCTGTTCATTCCCTCTGAAGCACCTGGCCTTGGCCACTGTCAGAAGACAGGATCCTGGGCTAGATGGACCATTGGTCTGACCCAGTATGGTTGTTCTTATGACTACTCACATGTTTAAAGTTAGGCACATGCTTAAGTTCCTTGCTGAATTGGGATCTAAATCAGTAGGGAGCTGGGGGAACCTACAAAAAAATTGAACGAGACAACTTGGCGATGAGGGGTGGCTTTGGAATGCTGCCCTGAGGGAGAATGTTTCATTTTCTATTCTGCTGGGTCTGAAGCATGCAAAGTTTCTGGGCACAATGGGAAGGGGGTATGGAGTTCCATCATTTTTACTTTTGTGAAGTTATGACAAAAATATTTTACACTGAGAAAGTAAGTTTTACACAAAACCTAACTGGTCTGAAATAATGTGAAGTCCAAGAGTGTATAACAAATTTGCATTTGTTCTTTGGATTGGTTCCAGAAATTTAGAAACAAGTTCAGTTAAATCAATGCAATTTCTGAATTCAGACGAGCCCAAAGGCTGTGGTCAGCCCTGATGGGTCAGTGACCTACAATACCTTTGCAGTTAGGACACAAGCTTAAAAGTACCATTCAACAAAACTCACTAACAAAAAACCATTCTCAGGACTCCCCTCCTGTATGAGTGAACTTCAGATCATTTTGCAAATATTAATAAATTTAGCCATACAATAAAACAGTATGGGAAGAAAGTATTATGAATCCCATTTTACAGATGAGGAAACTGAGGCACAGAGCTATTATGTGACTTACTCAAAGTCACACAGAAAGTCTATGGCAAAGTCAAGACTACAACTCAGAATACTTTAGCCTGAGTTCTGTGCCTTACCCACTAAACCATACTTCAGCTCTTAGACTGAACGTTCTAGAAATATGCTACTGGATGACTGTATCTGTATCTGGGGCAGCCTGATTTTTCCAGTGTTTTGAAAGCATGTACTTCCTTTGAGAAACTATTGCAGAAACACTACATATACACATCCAGCATCAGGTAAAAGAAATTTAAAATGCAGTATTTACTACCATAAACGTTTTTAACACATTGTACTAAACTGATTTTCCCTCACATTATTCCTAATTTGGGAGATGGGGGGAAGTATTTATCTGCAGACTTTTAACCACTTTAATTGTTTTGTTTGGTGAAATGAGTTCCTTTCCCCCTAAACAGGTGAACTTGACAGTTTTAGGTTAAGTACCTTAAATTAATAACATACGTAGACTTAGCATGGGCTCTGACAATTAAAACTGATACAAACACATACCTCTTCTTTGGCCCTACACTCAATGTCTCTGTAAAGAAATGGCTTGCAGTCCACAATTGTAAAAGGAGTCTTCTTTTGATTATCAGTGTCATAGTCTATAAAATATGAAAGGAAAAAAAATAATATCCTGATACCTTTTAAAACACCACCACGTAAAATACAGTCCAAAAGGTTGTTTTAGTGGAATATTAAGCTTGTGATTCAAACTCAGGAAATTAGAGTGTGCATTCCTTTGTCACTCTTCACTCTATCCTTTCCCATATACATAATTCATAAGTGCTGTACTGCGAATGTCACCCTTCGAGCACAACAAGCCCCATCTCACAGTTGTTAAGCATTACACAAAATTCACATATGGTGTTTATTTATTTATTTTTTTACTCAAAACATTTTTTTACCAAAACTAACGCTCTGAAG